GTCACTATTTAACCCCCAGAAGCAGTCTTCTAGCTTGGATAAGAATAAATCTATTTAGAAAGGAGAGAGAGATTTCAGTATGAAGACCACTTACAGAAAAAGAAAAAGCTATCACTGAAGGCTAACATGCATTTGGGGGGAGGGGGAGGAATAGATAATGGTCTAAAATAGTTCATGCAAAGTAGGTAGCTGCCTGAGCAGTAAAACTAGGAAAAGAGTATATGTATATCAGTCAGACTAAAAGCGGTACCAGATACTTTTGACTCAGCTCTATTTGCAAACTTTCTGATCAAAGCAGATTCACAGCAAGATGGCTTAAACTTCCATGAAGTTCTGAAACAAGAGGCCCAAACCTAGCAGTCAGGAAAACAGCAAACAATAGTGAGAAGGCAAACAAGTAGCAAGTCTTACAAGGCCTACTTGCATTAGATTTCTTTCAAAACTAAGAGATTAAAAAAAATCCTTTGCTTGAAACTTCCTGCATTCTTAAGCAGCTGTGAAGATTCTCTGTTAGTAACCACACCTTCAACAAGTGCATCCAAGATAAAAATCACTAGAAGAGATTCTATACATGGTATATCTTGGTTCTTCTGCTATACAATTTCTTCCTTTTGAAATACATAAATTTATCTGCAGTTCCTCCAAATGAAATTCTGAAACTCCTTTTAAAATAACAAACAGCATAAAAAATTTGAAAGTGTTCCCAGCAGTGAAACTTCTGCTTGTAACACAAACAAATGCAACATTTCATTCCATAAAGACAGAGACTATAATTCAACTGGGGATTGAAATGGCCATCCTCGATCTTGAACAGAAATTCAAGAAAAGTCTCCCAGTCTGGGAACTGACTCATCCTCATCCTCTCCCTCCACACTCACCTGCCACATACGCAGAAGGCGGCTCCAAGTTCCCTAAGTATTTAGGACTGTGCTCCTGCACAAGCCCAGAGCTATTCCATCACAAGCAGCATGTGTCTGTATCATGCTAAATCAATTTATCCATTCTAGGTGACTACCGATTCAGCAGGGAGGAACAATGAATCAACACTAGACAGGAATATTAATTTTCTATATAGTCAACAATAAAGAGTGTTAACTGCCTCTCTTATGCCCTATGAACTGCTGTTCAGAAGTTTTTTCCATTAACAGTACAAAGAATCTACACTTCCAGCACCTGCTTGGGCTTCTGTTTTTTTTGGGGGGTGGGGGGAGGCGGGAGGCAAGCTGACACTGAAATACTTATGTTAGGTATTTAAGATAGATAGTCTATGTAGTGAGCTGCTAAGATAGTGAAAGAAACAGCGTCTACATTCAGGGCCTTGGATCTCAAATGAACAAATGCAAGTGATACAGTTGATCCTCAAGAACGCACTGAGATTTCAGATACAGTTCATCCTCATCACTTCCCACTGTCAAGCTGTAGCCAGCTTGCCAAACGTGCTTGCTAGATCCGATTTACATTCTGCTTTGAAGGGAGAGAACTGGATACTCTCAACACCATATAGCAAAACTAGAATTCTTTTTCACAGATTAAGTGGAAAGTAGGAAGTGCTGTTTTTAGGCACTAAATTCTCTCTGGTATTCTTTTTGACATACACTTTGCATTTGTATTAGTGTTAAACAAATCAATGAAGAATACCAGCCTACTCATATCTGTCCAAGACTACAAGAAAAAAGATTATGAAAAAAAACCATGCCTGAGAAATTAAAACAGATTCAGCTAAATGCTTAACAAAGTGCCTAAAGTATACTGTTAAAATGCATCATTCATTAAAATAAGCACCAGAGATTTCATTTTTTAATATCTGAACTATTTAGTTCCTTATCAAGGAAAGAAAATGCCATTTTGTTGCTTAAAACTACCCAAGCGTTTTGCTTGTCCTCAGGATACATGTCTCATGCACACAGCTTCAAGCTCTCACGTTCTCTAAGGCTAACAAAGACAGTCTACTTTATCTCCTCTGCTGTTAGACAGTCACACAAATGAACAAGCGCATTATGAAAGGTCTGGTTTTGTTTTTAAGTCAATCTTCCAAGTCTCAAAACATGCAACTCTCAGTTAAACTGATAGGTAGCTTTTAAGTGTGCTTGAATAGGACTGAACTACAACTATCTGTATAAAATCTGAGACCCAAATTAAAAACAAAACAATACAAAAAAACCTAACAGAAGTGCCACGTTTTAAATCCGGAACAAGTCTGCTACTGGGGAAATTATCACTGATTACATATTTTTGTGCTTTTCTATTTAATAAAAATGATTTACAGTTCTTTCAATACTCCCTCTTGCCTTGTGAAGTATTTCTGCTCTGTTAATACTAAATAATTCTGGCTTTCCATACAAGATATACCCATTCACTTATTGCTCAACAGCCAACACTGAACTTCAAGGTCAGACATGAAAATTAAAGTAGTAACCACGCTAAGTAAAACTGCTATAACTGTTTTGCAACCCATTTCCAGAAGAAAGTCAAATGAGCAGAAGACATCCCAGGTATATTAAATATCACCACCTAGATTTTATTTACTTATACATACCACATCAGATTTCAGATGCCAATAGTTTATATTTCATGGTAACAAGATTCCATGTAGAAGAAAGAAGAGTTTGTTAAAATAACTGATTGCTCTGTAATCAGCACTATTATATAAATAAAAAGTCAATTTTATAAACAATGCAAAAGTGTCGATGCTAGAATATTAGTAGTAGTGTGATTATAAATAATTTTACTTTTTCTTTTACTAAAACTCAAAACTTTCAAGCCAAAAAAACGCAGACATCTTATTAGACTTAGGATTCCCAGAGGCATTGTGAAGAGACATGCACAATTTATTATAAATCTGCAGGAGTACAAACATTATCTGCTGCTCTGAACAAGTAAAAAAGCCAAATACACTCCCTCCTACAGTCTGCAATAACTAGTTCGTTATTCCTCATGACTTTACAGAAATATTATGCTACTAACTTCTTAGTGGTTTAATTGGGAGATTTTCTACTAGTTATCACTAGAGCCACATCAGATCTTCAACAGTCATAACAATTAACAGCCAGTTAAAGCAGCACCAGAGGCTACTGGAGGGAGTATCATATGTTTGCCTTGTTCTTATCTTCTTCTACTGTTTATAGAAACAGTAGATGACTACATAGACACTGCAGTCCACTGCAGATGGACTTTTGAATTGATCCAGGTCAGTCATTCCCATTTTAATTATTCTGTATGCAAAATGAAACAGAAGCATTTGAGAGCAATATCATGTATTTGTGACATATGCTGCATACCTGTGGTTACTACTCCAAATAAGCAAGAGATCTCCTCACAGATAGAACTACTGGGTGGATAGCATGTTCCTCAACTCCTAATTCATACACCAACATACAGATAGAAAAGTTTGCTGCCAGTGGCAGGTCCAGATCAGTCCTCCTCCTGATTTGGCCAGGCTGAGCCAAATAATCAATCTGATGCCTCTGTGTACAGACAAATGTGCAGAGAACATTGCAGAAAAGTGCCAGGTAGGCTGCTAGCCAGTCTCCAGGGCACAGATATTCAGTGAAATAGAAGGTAGGAAGGTACTCTTTGTTTGTTTTAAAAGGCAATATTGCTTACTTCCCTCATTTTCCCCTTTTCCAGGGTTCTTTCTGTTCTATACTCCCTTGTTACTCCTTTATTTGCACTTGCAACAATGGAAGGAAACTCCATGAAGACTGTGCTTTTAGGCATTAACAGCTACGATTACATACAGGTAATTAAGATCAAGAAGTGACAGGTGTACTTTTGAATTATGCCTGAATCTAAATAGCTGGACTGGCACTCCAACATATAAATTGGAACTTTCATTTTTCAGGATTGTAATGGATATAAAGACAAAATGTATACTTGCTGTCTGAGACTACCATTGATGTCTAGATTACTAAATGTTAGTCTAGTTTTCTCCTTCAAACCACATCAGCAGTAGGTGCTAGTGAAGACCATAAGACAACAAGTACAAAAAAGAACCAATGCAAGAAATTGTTATACAAATAGAAAAAACATTTTGTGTCCAGTGTATGAAAGCACAGAGAAAAAGCAGGAGATGTAAAAGCAAAGAGAGAAGTAAAGAAGCAAGGCTGACATCTGCTTTTTCTGCTTAGTCAGTTTCTTGGTCAATTTCCTAGCAGTTTGCCCTAACGAGCAGGATGCTTGGTCTTGATTCTTCTGTGCGCTAATTCTAAAGGTTGAAAGAAACATGAATTTTGGGGACTGAAACCAGCTCAGAGGCACACAATCACTGGATAGGTGGTTTGCATCACTGACATTAAGAGATTAGCTAGCTTTGAACTTGCCCCATTTGCTTTCCAGATGAAATAAAAAAGCACGTTATGCAGAAACGCCTACATTTCCTCCTACAGGATAATAGGTAAGACTTCAGAGCCTTTTTTAAGGAAAAGTTGAAGTTTCATTTTCTTTCTACATTCTTAGCAAACATATCTGACTATATTATATCTGCGGCTGGGTAACATTCCACTTCCACAAAGAAAACGTTGACCAATATAACTACTTGGGTGTTAATAAGGATTTCTAGGAGATGAGCTTTTTGTATAAGGTAACCTGACATAATGGACACAGAAATACAAATTAATGACTTCAGCTCTAACACAGTAGTAGTCCAAGCTATTGTTACATTTCAAGTTTGTCAACTCTTCAGTAAATCCATTTTGCTTAAGAACTACGATGGATTAAGATTTACACCTTTACAATAGTCCTACTTAAGTAAATTATTCTCTCAAATTGCCTTAAATGGAAATAAAGCTTTATAAAGAACACAAATGGGCATTGCTGTTCCCTGTGAACTTTGCTATATTGATCCATCAAAAGGAACTACTAATCTGTACTGTTCTAAAAACATACAAATTATCCATGCTAAAGAAATGTTTAAGTAGTTCTAAACAATATATGGGATTAGAAGGATTATACGAAAGGTTACTCTTTAATATGAGTCATTTAAAGAGTGAACTCATCAGCCATTGAAGTAGTTTCCATTCACTCCGTAAAATATATAAAGCGAGCACAGACATACAGCATGTTAATTTACAGCTGAAGCTCTCAAAATTTGAAAACTGCTTAGCTTTTACGCAAACATTAAGTAACTAAGAATGTGTAGCTCATCATATATGTTAATACTCTCTCTTTCTCTTTTTTCTCAAGGTTTTCTAATCTCACTGTCAAAATCCCTGCAAAAGGTAGAAGATGAAAATATGTTGCTAAACACATTCCGGCTAGGAAGAACCCTTCGAAGTGGGGATAGAACACAGTATAGAGGAGCTACACCTTTGCTCAAACATTACAAGACTGAAGACAGTAGCTTTTTGGATGAAGAGGAAGACAGAACCCCAAAGTTCTTTGTGAGTTTTCAGTTTTACATGCTTGGCTTCATTGTAAAAAAAGGAAATTCTCTTTTTAGCCCTTTAGAAGACAAATGCAAGAATTGAAAGCAATAACCTGGCAAATATATACAAAATTCATTTCAGTATAATATATTCAGGGATGAAATTTTCAACTACAACTATCTAATCTCAAGATTTTAAATAAGTAACATGGGCAGTTGAAGAAAAGAAATCAGATCTTAACCAGAACTATAGGTAGTCAAAACTTGTGAGGGGAAGAAGGTCTGTGTTTGTGTTTGTTTCTGCATGTCACTACATGCAGTAACAGGTTTTCAACTTCACCAAATACAGGAGATGCATATTATATTAACAGGTACTTTACTGTAAAACCATTTTAGCCAAAGATGTAATGCAGGGCATCGCTTACTTTCAAATGATTATGTTCAATCCCAATACTTTCATTGGGAATTTAAAAAGTTAATACAACTGACAAAAATTTGTAAAGACAAACTGCTACTCTTGTTTTCCTTAAAATAGGACATAGGTTCCAAACATGATTTCCTGAACCATGGTATGGCAATCAACTTAGGTACAAAGCAGCTACCTTATCTTGCACTGAAGGGAGCCATGGCTTTTCCAGCTGACACTGAAATTCAGAATATTGAATCTGCACAGGAAAGAAGAAACACTGAGGATGAAGAAAATTCAGCTAAATTCCCTATAGGAAGAAGAGATTTTGACAGTAAGTATACTTTCATTCTTACAAGAATAAAATCATTTGTATGTAAAGTGTAATGAAATATCTATACAGCCATTTGATGAAGGTTCTTTTAGAAACTACATGTCATATTTAGGAGTTGCCAGGGCTGATGAAATGCTGTATTTTCAGTTTACATGTAATTTTTTTTTTTCTTTTCTTCAATTAACGGTATTAATGCAATAAGGAATTCTAGAGGCAATAAGGAATTCTAGTTCTTTTACAATTTAAACTTTCAGAATTTTTTTCATTTAGAGCTCCGGTGCATGTTGGGAAGAGTCTATCGACCTTGTTGGCAAATCTGAAAACTACCGGTCTACACCACCTTCTTTGAAGATCGAACATTTCATTTTGAATTTAACGGAACTTGAAGTTACTGTGTTTTAGTATTGCTATAAACATTTACAAATCTACAAATACTTCCACATTGTAATGTGGAGAGAAACATGATTCATTGCCAAAAAATAACTTAGCTGTCATTACTAATGATGTATTATTATGAAAATAAAAGACATCTGCATAATCCAGATTTGTAAATATTTGTCTAATTATACACAAGCAACTCTCACTTATTTGAGTATTAAGGTATTGAGTATTCATGAATTTCACCTTTTTCTTGCAAAACTACAACTTCTGAAACAGTCAACCGTGTATTTGAGAATAAAAACAATTTATAGTCGAAAAAAGTGAGTTAATTTTGCCTGACCAGCAATCAATTTATTCTTGTTTGCAGTTCTGCTGCTTTTTCCTGCCCCAACTTTGCTGTCCAATTTCTTCTGTGGATTGTTTGAAACCTTAGGTCTTTTGGCATTTTTTGGCAGAGGTAGCTCGCTTTCCTTATCACAGATTATTTTGTCATCACTCAAATTCATCTGTTCTTTCCTGGAGTTTTTGTTTCTCGGTTGACAACTCAGTTTTCCCATTTCTGTTTCATTTCTATTCCGGTGAACATTTTCAGAAATAGTTCCAAGCGCTGGTATGTCAAGACACGAATTCATACCTTCTGTCATGTAAAAACATCAAAAAATATATGGGAAGAAATAAAAAGTTACCTAGGATTGTTTGTCTATTTTCTATCATAGGACAGTCACGTGATTTTTATCACAACTAGTGCTTTGTAAATAAAACAAAATTACTCTAGGTCATTACAGTTACGTGTGCTATTTGTTGATCAGCTAATCAGTGTACTGTTATTTTAGAGTAACATTGCTCAGAAACATATAATACCAAATAACTTACAGAAATGGATTTTTAACCATAAGATGTTGGAAAAGTTGCTTAAATTAAGTTATATACGATACAGTGGATATAAGTAAAACAAATAATTTTTTTTGAATGACAAAAAATGAGTTTTACTTAACTTTTGTAGAAGAAAAAGCTTTACGTATGCAAAGTTTTTTTTTACCTTATGATAGCATCAATACACCTTTCAAAAGGAATTATTTTCAAAACATTCACATTAAAATTATAACGTAAAGACATTTAACTGATCATAAGATATACAGTGCAATAAAATGCCTGTTCTTTTCTTGAAAAACATTTATATTTGAGTTTTACTAATATTTACTTAGATAACATCTGAAATGTTAGCTATGACATTCACTTACTCAGTCCTAGTACAGCTTACCTGTGAGACATTCATCTTTTAAAAGCTGCTTTGGTGCAGGATGCATGCTACTTTTGAAGAAGTGCTGACACTTCCTTTCACTCAACCCATCTTTATATGTACATGCAAACTGGGATTTGATTGAAGGTTGCTTCATCTGCAAGTAGTGATTGATATTAGCTTTAATTATTTGTAAGAGTAAAAACAGAATGTCTGTCAGATTAGTGAAATAGTAAGTTTCCTTTCATTTGTCTCATGTTTATAAATCACCTAAAATACCAGAAAAATATATATGATCACATCAAGTATTTAAATAAATTGTTCATACATTTACAAAGGATAAAGGCCTTCTAGAAATAATTAAGGAAACATTCTAAAATAAATTTTTAAATATTTTTTCATCTCTTGGTAGAAAGTTGCATAAAAATTTTTAAAGTTGCATCCACCTAAGATTTTCTGTCAAAGTTATCTCCCTCTTTTGATAGACCATAGACCCTATCATTTTGAACAGCTGTCATAGCTGCTACAATTATCATATTTCTACAGGCCATCATCTTTGAAGTGTCTGATCATAAATGCCAACTATATAAGTCTCCCAATCCAATCAACGTATACACAGAAGAAATCATAATATCAATGCTGAAAAGAAATGATAAATAGTATAAATTAAGTTCAGTTTAACTTATGTTATAGCTTATGTTATGATTCAGTTTAACTGAAGTATAAAAATATTATTTTGGCACTCTCCGGTAAATTTTGGATTTCCCAATTGTTCCAGAAATAAAGCCAATTCCATACTGAATACAAAGGTCAGGAGAAAAATTCTCTACATGTACTGTTCAAACTCCACATTTTTCAAAGCATATCCATATAGCCTAAGTTACTAGGAATGAAGAACACTACTGTATCTGGTTCTGCATATGCTTATCTCCACCTGCTAGTCTCTGAAGCAAGAAACCTAGTCCCATCCCACAGCTCAAACAAAATGCGTGGCTCAACTCCAAAAATTAAAGTTATATTACAGCCTTTATATCCATAGTTCCTGGAATCAATGGTTCCAGGTCAAATTTCCACAGTTTACACTTAAGTTACAGTTTCTCCAACTACTACATCATCTTAGAATTTGAGGGTCAAGCTTTATCTTTTCTCACCAATTTATCACAAATACAGCAGACTGCACGAAGTAAATTCTGCCCTCTGTTCCACTTGAAGGTCTAAGTTACATAAAAGAGATTGAGAGGTATAGTGTAGAGTAGAATACCATATTTTAGACTTTCTAGGTCATAACTCTATTAAATGTCACAAGTGAATTCATTTTCCTTGTATTAGTACTCAGTTCAGCTCAAACTTAAAAGAAAATGTAAGAAATGTTGTCATTAGAGAAATATTGCTTTTTAAATATACAAAGCGACTAAATTCGTGGAATATGAGAATCATTACCACTTTTCAGATTAAAAAGTTTGCCGTATACAAGTCTTCTTTTCTTCTTAACACAAGCATGTTTAAATATAACAGTTCAGGTTTGACCTCTAAATTTTTTTGTTCCAAATCAAAATCTCAGGTTTAGACAGAATGACAGAAGACAATACATTCCCAAAAGTCTGCTTTCAGAAGGGTCTTCACCCACCAAATTCAGTCACAGCTTATTGCACTTCCATCAGATACTGCTTTCACCCATACAAGCCAACATACTCCAGCCTTTTATCATTAAGATGCAACCTGAATATCTCTGCATGACACTGCAGTTGGCCAGTGAACAAAACCACAATCTTTGCTGAAAAAAGTTTTATTCACAAAAATGTAGTTGTTCTGACTTAACATGCCTGTCCAAACAGTCTTACTTAAAGCTCAGTATGACCTTCAAAAATTAAAAAGGGCCAATTTTTCCAACTGTCAATCACTCCCAAACTAATTTATCTGTGCTGGGTAACAGCCTGAGAAAGAAAGGCACAATCCACAGAGAGAGTTAGTCAGCATTCCTCTTAACAATTCTATAGTTCTCTAAGGGTTAATCTACTATGTACTGACCATTTTTAATCGTAGAGTAAGACCATATATAGAGACATTTATTAAGTTTTGTATGCTGCAAGTTTATATCTAATCCGATTATTAACTGTGTTTATGCTCTTTTCAGAAAAATGTTTTGAAGGATAAATAAGGTATACCCAGAGAACTAGAAAAATAATTCTAATTAAGCGCAACTCAAACCTAGCTTAAATAAACTTCATCAACATCCTAGGTATACAACTACAACATGTTGAATACAAGGGCCTTTAATTTCTTTAGCTTAAGGTCACTGTAATACTAAATAAACAAGTTTTCTAATATTTTCTATGTTCCTTCAATTCTTTATCTTGATCCTTTAAAATTCACTCAATTCCTAACTATTGTTCAGCAAATGTCACACATGAAAAAAACTATGCAACAATAACTTGCACACAAATCCACCACATTCTTCATATTGCATAAGGCAAATAAACGAAAATTGGTACTGAACTGATGAAGACATGATAAACCAAGAATATCAGATCTGGGCAAGTAAGCCTGTTAGTTAACCATTCTATAACCAAAAGCAGTCAGTTGTGTTTTGGGACATTAGGATTTCTTTTCACACAGGGACACTTCACTAAGCCAGCTTGCAAAGATCAGAGCATGTGGAGTCAGAGGACAGACCTTAAGCTCAAGCACTGACAAATTTGCAGCACAACAACGAATCTGTCTTAGTTTCCACTACACTGAAGCTTGAAACATGCCTCAAAACTTAACTCTTCATTGCATCACATGCCATTTAGTCATTTACAAAACACGTGCAAAGCTATAGCTGTTAATACAGCTGTTTCAACTGATGCTAGTACTAATTTAAAGAGCAGACATGAAGGCAAAGTGCAAGACTAAGTTTGCTGAAGCAGTCAAACTTCCCAGCTGCTCTAGGAATGTATTTGTTACTAAGACAATTATATTACATTGAATGAGTTAACAATAAGAAAATCTAAATAGTCTGAAGGCAGAAAAAGAACACAAACTCAGTACTGAATTAAAAAGTCAAATTTCTCTGTATTGCTTTTAAAGAAAAAAGAAAAACTTAAAGTGCGATTGAAGCACACATAATGAAGTCTGTCAACAACTTGAAATAGCTCTTAAACATCAGTATCCTGAACCACTGATTTGAGTGGCTCACCACCAACATCCCAATGACCCACAGCTCTGTGAAAGGGAAAAGATGTTGGGAGCCCGACCTGCGAATCAAATAGTTGCATATAAGTAGTGTAAAACAGTCAGGCTTACGGCCTGTCTCCTCCTCACAAGAGGGTCATTGCTATTATTCCTATGTGAAGAAGTTTCTTCCCCATTTCAGACAAAGGAGTTCACTGCTACCACTCTCCAGCCAGGAGAAAGTACAATAACATAAAAGACATCCTGTGTTTCAGTGCATGTAGGTCAATTAGTGGTCCTAGATTAAGTAGCACATTCTCCCCGCCTTGCTTTTTTTTTTTTTTAAATCTAAAAAGGTTTCAGTTGCTTGAGATGTGACTAAAAAACATTTTCATCTGTATGAAATATTAATGGTGCATGCTCTATTTATTTCTAAAAGTGAGCTGATAATCTTTTCCAGATCTCCCTTCCAGCACGTACATATAGACAGTACAGCCAACATTTAGTCAGTAAGAACGTTCAGATTGGGTTTTTATACACTGGAATGGCATCACAGAATTTGAAAATCTGTGTCAGTAACAAATATATTTTTATTTTCTAACCAAATAATTAGAGTACAATTTGAAGAGGAAAAATGAGATTAAAAGGAATAGAAAGTTTCTCTTCTCCACCTTTACCCTTGCTCTTTCAGATAAAATAGGAGAGGTAAGCTGAAAGATTTTTTAAAAAGGAAAGAGAGCATGGAGGAAGAGAAGGAAAACAGTAAGTGGTAAATGTCACTGCCTGATCAGAGTATCACGTTATTCAAACACAAAAAATATTCTGGCTAATAGCTCAGGTAATAGTAACCTTGTACTGTACCAAACCTATAACAGTTTTTAGCATGACATTGTACCACCCTTCCTATATCCTAAATTAACCTAGTACTGTTTTGAGAATATTCAACCTCAAAATATCTCATTATTGGGTTTTGAGAGTATTAAAAACTCACAGCTAGAGATCCTAAGAAAGCCGGTTAGGGGTCATGTAGAACTAAAAATGATATTTTCCACGTAAGTATGGTTTATCAGTTAACTGACATTTGTAAAAAGTAATAGTCTTTCTTCAGATTTTGTGGTGAACAGCTTTCTCCCTCCCCCTTTCTCATCCAGCTAGTCATTTTTTAGCACACTACATAAACTTTGAAACTAGTAGTCAGTTTAGCGCTCCTCATAATTCTACTCCACTTTGAAATAAACATTTATTGCTACACCAGACAAGACTACCACCTGAGGAAGACTGCTTTCTTCATTACTGTGAAGTTTCTCTTCACAAGTATAGCAGTCATACAGAAAAATCTTGATAACTTCCTGCT